TTACAAAGGACAAGCCCTCTTGGCCTAATTACCTCTTAAAGGTTCCACTTTTTAATACTATCACATTTGCAACACGTAGATTTTGGCAGGGAACACATTCAAACCATGGCAGCCTAAAAATAGTATAGATAGCTTAATAGTGAAAACTAATAATCCCCTGCCTAGTCCCTTCCTACTCAGCCCTTCCTTTAATCCCCTTTCCAATTTCTAATAATCATATTTTAGTTCCTCTCTTACTACCTTCACATACGTATTTTCTTATTCCACCAAATGTAGACTAGGACTTGGTTTTCCACTGTGTAATCAGGCAACTGGCTTTCTAGCATTCATAGTAAACCAAATTCTGTTGGTTATTGAATGTTTAGAGTCTTAATAGATGATAGCTAATTGTGTTTAGTAATAAATTGCATTCTAATTTTATTTTAAACAAAGTTTTATTTATGCCCATTTCTTTGAAACTTTCACATTGTTGTATGTACAACTTCTTTTTCTCTCTAGAGGCCACCAATGAGAATAACTAAATTTAAAATAAGAACTCTTTTAACTTTCATTTCAAGTTTTTATCTAAGAAGAAAAAATATAAAGTAACAGTGTATTTCTCTGATCTTTAAATTCAGAAAATAGGGAATTAGAGAGACTAAGATATTTTAAAAATTAAGTTATAAAAGAACATTTCAGAGAAAGAGAAAAATGGTAAATGATGCTGGATGTATGTACAAGGGAAAAATGATTAACATGAACAGATTGACTCACACCTCCTTAGAGGGCAGAATGATGTAAGCATCAAAAGCCCAGAGAGGAAAATGACCACACAGACCAAAAACAAGGGAAATACATAGAAACGTGAAGAAAGATTTTGTGGTAACTCTTTAAGTTTACTTTAATATTCTTGAAAAAGCAAATACTTTTCCCTAATTTCATTAATTTGAAAATATCAAATTTAAAATATTTGATTTATAAAGAGTAGGTAAAATTAAATTTGTGATTTGGGAAAATGTAAAAGAAATTCAAAGTAACATTCTCACTCTTAAAAAACCCTTAGAATTTAGGTCAGATGACAAAGTAAATGATTTAAGAGCAAGTAGAAAATACACTATCTGAACGTACATATTTAAAACATGCAAATTGATTGAGTAGAAGAGACAAAGCACTTTTAATGACTTTTTTTACGTCTGCACTAAAATCTTATATATTCAGTTTAGTTAGAAGAAATATTTTAAACCCATATTATTAGTATGTTAGTTTTAAGAGAAAGCCGTAATGAAAAGTCAATCCTAAATAATCATGGGTATATTCTATAACAAAGGGTTCTCCATAGCACTCCAGTGGGAATTCACATAAATCTAGTGAAAAGAGTTCCTACTAATAGCTCTTAAGATGATGAAATTGTTTGCTTTGCTTTTGTGGCTTTTGTCACCACACCCCTGAATAACATGTTTGTGACTTAGGCCCCACAACAGCTTTCCGTGGGTCCTCAGCTCACTGATAAATTTGCCTCGTGAGTTGGAAGTCAACTTGAGACAAGTCTTGAAAATTTCCGCAGGGGACCCTGGAATATTTGGTTGCTTCTTCCTTCTACAGAAACCCTGATTCCAAAAACTTGATTCTTATTTAGTTTACAGCTTCAATCACTACTTATATACAGTAACAAGTGTTACGTTGCTACTGTATATAAATGAGCAAGTCAGACAATTTGAGAAATAGACTCGTCTACAATGCATAGAGCACTGTTTATTGTACCTTGTAGCGTTTATCATGGGAATTGCACTTGTGAATGGTCAACAGAGTGGACCACATGGTACCCTAAGCTGAGTCCGCATAATACAGTCAAAGAGGGAATTATCCCTTATTGATAAATCCTAGCAGAAGGAATGGACAATGTAGCTCAAAAATGTTGTCCACAAAGTAAAGTGTGGGCCAATCGCTGTGAACTGGCTCTCTGTGCTGGGTGTCCCGGATGTAACAGCTCATGTCCTTCCGTGTCCGTAGGCCAAGGCTGGTGGAAGATGCTGTCGCATCAGACAGTAACTCATCGTGCTGTGCACGGTAAATCACCTGGCTGTCAACACCTTTATTTTCAAGACTCTTCTATTGTTGTGCCTAAAGTATGGATATTAAGAAAGAAGAATCTCCACAAAGTTGTTGTGTCACTGCAAGGGACTAGGCACAAACTCTAAGAATTTGCTACCTCTCAAGCTATAGGGAGATCTCAACAGCAGGGTGAGAGACGTGTTTTAACATCAGGAGTCAACGTAACTAGATCCAGTAGTTTGTTTGATTTGCTCATTCCTTGACTGTCCCATTTAAAATGAAACTATTTCTCCACTTTAGTGGAAAGTCTCTATTCCCTACTCTTTTTTTCCTATTTAGATCATGGATAAGTATATTTTGTATGTTTGTTTGTTTAGTCATTGGCTTTCTTCTTTTAATAGAATGCTACCTTTATGAGGGTAAGGATATTTTTCCTCTTTCATTAATTGCTCTATTGCAGAATTTAAAAGAGTCTTTGGATATATATATCTCCACATATTTGGAGAGAATAAATTAAATATTCTTCTCAAAGTTATTAAATAATTTTAATGGCATAAAAATGAAAATTCAGAAGGCATTTTGAAGATTAAAGCAAGTTAAATCTTCATCTGAATGATTTATTTTGTTTCACATTTAAATACTAACTGAAAAAAAGCACAGGAAACATATATAATGAAGAACTTTGAAGAAAAGCTAGCATATAATATACCTTTAAACAATATAATCTGCCAAAAAGAGGGAAAAAAGCAATTATTCAAATATTTAACTGTGAATTTTAGCTGTCTACTAGCATCTGTACCTGTTGAATTTTATTTTAGATGCAAATGAACATTTTTTTAATTTGAATTTTTATTCTTTGAATAAGCAAAAACTTCTCTTAGATACTTTTTAGGCAACAAGAATTGAAGAAAAAATGATATGTTTGAATTATGCTAGGAAAGTGTGATAATTCAGTGACTCTCTTGTTATTTTGTCAACATGTTCAGTGCTGTAGTCTGCTTTTCTTTAAAAGTATATGTGGCTGTGATTTCCACACTTTTTTTTTACATGTCCTTCTATTATAAAACTATTTTCTATTCTGCAGTTAATTGGAACAATAGTGATGGGCTGTGCTTAGCTTTCTTACTAGGAGCCACTTTTTTTTTTTTGAGTTGGAGTCTGACTCTGTCATCCAGACTGGAGTGCAGTGGCTGCTCCTGGCCACCACAGCTTCGACCTGCTGGGCTCCAGCGATCCTTCCGCCTCAGCCTTCCCAGTAGCTGGAATTACAGGCATGAGCTACCACGCCCGGCTGATTTTTTGATTTGTTGTAGAGATGAGGTCTTGCTGCCCAGGCGGGTCTCGAACCCGCGGGCTCAGGCAATCCACTCATCTCAGCCTCCCAAAGACGCGGGATTATAGGCTGAGCCACCAAGCCCGGCTACTAGGAGCCACTTTTACAGGACAGTAAATAGTAGCCTTAAGAGTATAGACCAGTCTTTCCCAGATCTGTCTGTAACCACATGTACTTCAGCTAAAAGGAGTTAAGTAGTTGATGATAAATTTTCCTCTTACTCTAAAATTGTATATTACAATTTTACACAAGTTTAGTTAAAACTTAAAAAGCAATTTACCTTTCATTTATTAAAAACATAAGTGCTGCTATATAAAGCTCAATAGAACATAGACCAGCAAAATCTGTATTCAATTAATGTATACTAATTGAAATGGCATGTTTTTCCTATAATAGAATAATAGATTCATATTTCATTTTAATATCTAGAAACTGGTTTTTTTCTTTTATACTCATGTGCCTTATCAGAAGTTTAAAATTTTGGCATTCATAGGTAAACAGCATTTCAGATAACCACATTTAAGTCTAGACTTCCTCAGGAAGTACTAAAATCATTGACCTTAATTGTTAACAACTGCAAGTTCTATAGGCTAAACATATTTAGTATTTTCATCCATTTATGTGCCAGGAAATCTGTGTTACAAATATATTGCGATTTTATATTATCTAATGAGATATTAATGAGTGAATGAATTCACATCATTAATGAATAAATGATATGTAAGTGAAGACAGTGTCACAGATACATTAGATACAGGATTTATTTTGATTTCTTTTCATAGCAGAACTGTTCGCTTCAAACTGATCTGTCTTCAGCATATTTTTGGTCACTTCTTGACTGTTTTTAGTAGTTGTAACATGTTTTATCGGGTTGAGGGATAAACTCCAGGCTGTAGAATAATTGTGTGTGTAACTGCCCTCTGTAAGTACTAAACCTGTAATCTTGGTCTTATTATAGTCTAACTAACGTTTTTCGTACTCCTGTTTCATGAAATGCTAGGATTCCATGAAATCATTTGCAAGTTAAGTAGACTTTGAATTTTTCGATTTTACTTTTTTTCATAATTGTATGAGACTCATCTCTTCAAGTCTAATTTCTTTCTCTTATGCGATCTCCTGTTTACTTCATCCTCACCACCATAGTTTTTAGTGTATCAGGAAGAGAATACTGTGAGTGCTGCCACCTATAGGTGGAAAACTAATTAAACTTTTTCATGATGTAGAAAAGCATATCTAAAAGAGTTATTTTTGCAACTTCTGCAACCACCATCTTCAAACGTTTCACCTAATTATTTACCTACTTGATATTGATGTTGCCATTTCAGATGCCTGTGCCTTAAAATAAAGCATTTACTAAAACCTTTATCATTTCGTCATCTTATTATTTGCATTTAATATACCATTCAGATATGCCATATTATAAGAGTTCTTTGACTTAATAAAGTTTAATAGACCTGCTAGAACAATTGACTTTGCCAATCATATGCCGAACTTACCGCTGTGTCTTGGTTTATCTGTGTGGGGCGTTGCCAGATCTGTCCAGGGAGTGAGACGTGCCCCTTTGAGGTCTTTTATCATGAGGCTTGGTTCTGTGCCTTTGCGTAATGACGGGTTTGTTTCTCCTTTATTCTTGCAGAGTGCTGCAGCAGCTCCCAGCCCAGTGCTAGGAAACATTCCCCCAGGAGATGGCATGCCAGTAGGTCCTGTGCCACCAGGGTTCTTTCAGGTACTCAGAGAAACTGCCAGCATGTTAAGGCCTAGGCACTCGTGTTGGGTTTTGCTAAAGTGTGGAGGAGGAGGGGCTATTTAATTATTTAGGTAAATAACAATGTGTAGCCGACTCTTATGTTCAGATTGGTTATCTGTTGTGTTGTTCTTTCTTCCTATGTCTACTTTGTTGTTACAGTATGTATCTATTCATTTATGTGGCTGTTTTATTGTTCACTTAAGAAAGAAAAGGAAGCCGAGCTCGGTGGCTCAGCCTGTAATCCCGCGCCTTTGGGAAGCTGAGGTGAGTGGATTGCCTGAGCCCGCGGGTTGGAGACCCGCCTGGGCAGGCGAGACCGCATCACTACAATAAATCAAAAAATTAGCTGGTCATGGTAGCGCACGCCTGTAATTCCGGCTACTTGGAAGGCTGAGGCGGAAGGATTGCCAGAGTCCAGCAGGTCGAGGCTGCGGTGGCCGGGAGCGGCCACTGCACTCCAGTCTGGGCGACAGAGTGAGATTCCAACTCAAAAAAAAAAAAAGAAAGAAAAGGAGTTGAAATGCAAATTAGTCCATTATAAATTAACTGAGGTCAATATGTTGTGGGAGAAGAGGTTGAAGAGAAGACTCTGGGAAGGATGGAATTGTCACTGTCCCAACTATCCAGATCTCCACAGACCAGAAATAGCCACAATTCAGCTGAACTTTTAAAATATAGTTAAATTATAATTATCAATGTATCAAGAATACAGGTTATATCAAAATAGAGAATCATCTTTGGGGATTTTAGGCTTGAATTTTTTATTAATAGTATTATATAACATTTTAAGATCTCATTTTCTTTCCTTTTTTTTTGAGTTGGAGTCTCACTCTGTCGCCCAGACTGGAGTGCAGTGGCCACTCCCGGCCACAGCAGCCTCAACCTGCTGGGCTCCGGCGATCCTTCCGCCTCAGCCTTCCGAGTAGTCGAAATTACAGGCATGCACTACCACGCCCAGGTGATTTTTTGATTTGTTGTAGAGATGAGGTCTCACTGCCCAGGTGGGTCTCGAACCCGCGGGCTCAGGCAATCCACTCACCTCAGCCTTCCAAAGGCGCAGGATTACAGGCTGAGCCACCGAGCCCGGCTAAGATCTCATTTTCAAATACATGTTAAAATTTTAGCAATGATAATAAGAATTACTTACTTATTTTAGCAATGATAATAAGAATTTTAGAATTACACAGTATTCTGCTTTTTAAAATTTTATGGCATCCACATCTTAAATCTGAAGTTTTTTAACTCAAATCAACATAGATTCTGAAATTTATTCTTAGTACATAGTTAATTTTATAACACTCTTTGGTTAAGAACCTAGGAGTTAAGAACTAGAGTTGGAAGGTGTTACAGGAGTTAATGTAATATGCTATATTGTTAATGAATTGCATTAGGTACCTATAAGTTTATTTATCACTCCAGTTTTCATATTTTCTAAGTTCTTGATAACCACTTATTTATTAATCCATACTGTCAATGTACTTATCAGTTTAAAAATGGAGAACTAAAACTATAAATAATTTTTCAAAGTATATCAAAGAATAAAAAGGTCTTGATTAAAAAGTAATTTCAACCCTTGTCCTCTAGGCCATTCATATTTACTTTAATACTCTGTATTAATACCCAAATTATCTAGAATATTAAACAGTTTTCTTAGAGTTCACATTCTGTCTTGGGGGCCCCTTGTTATAATCTAGGAATAGGTTGTAACTCTTGATTATTAATTAAACAACCACCATTTAAGATAATAATAACAGCTGATCCTTAATAACTGCTTACTGTGACCCCTGCCTCATTCTAATTGCCTTGTATATATATACACTCTGAATGCTCATAATAACCTAGGCATGAAGTCCGTATTATCATCATCCCACTGTACGGAGGGAAAAACTGAGGCACTGGTGGCTAAGTCAGAAAGTCACAGGTCTGGGTTTAGATCAAGGCTGGCTGGATCTCTGCCATTAAATTTACCTTTTAAAGTTCATAGTTGATTTTTATTCATGACATATGTCCAGCTCATTCTATTTTTTTCCTCATTTTCTTATTTCTCTTGCCTAAGATGGTTGAAGTTAGGGAGTACGTCAGAAGAGTTTATAGATTTGATAGTTAGTAGAAGTACCTTAAGTGGCACTTTAAGAGAGGAGCCCAGAGAGGAAGCTAAATTCTTTTACTGGGGTTTAACCAAGTCTGTAAATCCATACGTGCTCATATTCACATATTATAGAATGAGTCATTCTCCCTTTACTTATCTTCTGTCTCCAAGTCTTGGTAAGGGCAGTGAAACAGTTACCTGTGTTGTAATTATTTCAGTGTGATAAAAACTTGAAAGCTACTATATGCCGGTCACTGCAGTAGGCACTATAGATAAGCAGGTAGAGTGTACATCTTCCTGAAACTTGCTATATGAGGCATAATTGAAGATAAATAACTATAATACCATGAAATGCATGTTGTAACAGAGGGTAGCATTCCGGAAGGACCCAGGAGAGAGAACCATCACATCTGTGGGAAAACTGCCCTGCAAAATCAGCAGAGGCCTGGTGTTCCAGACGGTGGGCACTGTGTACACAGAATGTGGCAGCATCACAGCGTTCTATGTAGGGGTGTTTGGAGTGGCACATGGAAGGTGGGGAGACCAGACAGAAGCTCCTGGACATGACACTGGAAGGATACATCTGGCCTGTGGAGAAGAGGCTCTGCTGTGTAAGAACTCAAGTAGCCATTCAGAGGAGCCAGCAGAGGCTCGAGGAAGGGCAGGGCCCTGATCTCCCACCACATGGTGATCCCGGCCTAGTGGGACACCTGCAACTGGAGTATGTGTGAAGCCCCTGCCCCACAATGCCCTACTGTATAAGGAATGAGAGGAGCAGCAGGTAGAATGTAGACAGAAAACACTCTTAAATGGGTGGCATGTGCTCGAGAGCACACCAGAAGGCCCCACACTGAACCCTGGGAGAGACTCAGTCAGGAAAGCATTGTCAGAATAGTATATGAAATCCACATGGGCATTTAAAGATGAGTTGGGAGTTAGGCAAAGGAAGCAGGGATAAAGGGGGAGAACATTCCAGAAAGGGGGGAAATAATTTACAAAGACCCAGAGGGGAAAGGAGAAGAGATTAAGTTCAGGAAAACTGGAGCTTGACCTGCTGAAGGGTACATGGCTGGTGAAGAGCCTTGAGAAGGCCTAACAGGGCCTTGTGGGTGGTAGAGTCTGAACTTGATCTTAAGGGTAGTGATGAGCTATTGGAAGATTCTAAGCAGGAGAGAGATATGTCCATATTTGCGTTTTTAGAAAAATCACTCCAGCTACACTGTATAGCCAGAATTGTGGAAGAGCAAGGGTGGAGGGAAGGAGACTCTTTTAGGAGACTTTTACAGTAATCCAAATGGAATCTAATGATGACCTTAACTCAGTGAAAGTGGGCATGGACAGATGTGAACAGATTTGCAAGACAAAATAAAAGTGGGGGGTGTGAATAGAAGAATTCCAGGACAATATTCTGACTTCTGGCTCTAAGCTGGGCAGATGGTACCATTTTCTGAGATGGGGACCACAAGATGGGGAATAGGCTTGAAGTGGGCAGGTGAGATTCCTCGGGATCCTCCAATGAGAGAGATATGTTCAGCTATTGGTCCTGCAAGTTCAAAGCCTAGGATAGTGATCAGACTAGAGGTAAAAATTGCAGAGTCGTTTCATATTCAGGCACTGGAATCCACAGGGGTGGATTAATTGTCCAGGAAGAAAGTACAGAATGACAGGGTAGGGATCGTACAACCAAACTCTAGACAACAACAAAACACTACCATTTAACAGATGGACGAAGGGAACAGGACCCACTGCAGAGGCTGGATGCAGGGTACCATCAGCTGGCTGGCATAGCAGCCCAAGGAAGAGACTCTTAGCCAATTTCTGATCAGTGGCAGTAGAATTTAAAAAGGGAGAAACAGCTCATAATTGCATTTGATAGACCTTAGTTGATTAACCAATTTAAGGGTAGGAGAGAATGAGCTGAAAGAGTTGAGGATGATTCTGAGCTTCCCACTTTAGGTCTCTGGATAATTTTAGTGTCTTTATCTGAGTAAAGAAAGACAGGAGGTTGAACACATTCTAGATGCATTTGAATTTGATACACAAGTCTTTCCTCTTTGTCCAGGCAGACTATTTCAGACTAATCCCAAATACCTTTTCCCCTATTTAGCATTTAAATATTTCTTCCTAGAAATTCCTCTCGAAATTCTAGAAGACTCAAACTATAAAACTTCTAAGAAAGAAATATGATGCCATTACCTTCTAGTACATGTAGTGGTGGGGCCAGATGGCTCAGTGTTTCCTAAACATCAGCATGGTCTCCTGCAGCCCCTGAACTGCACGTCAGCATGAGTCCAGCCCTGATGTATGCCATTAGTGGAGAGCAACTACCTTCCAGGACAGGAAATAGCAGCAGACAGTCATAATTCCAGTTTACACACCAGTTCTACTCCAGTTCCAGGGAGACATCGACCTCCAAGGATGATCCACATCTGGAGGGGCTGCCGGGTATCCCTTCACAGTTCAGAAGCTGTAATACCCAAGGTGGGGCACTGCCCTGATTGTTAGTTCAGTACAAGACAACTGAAAAAGCTGGCTGTGGCCCTTCCCAGTAACCAAGTCCAGGAGGCTTGGCCAGGACAGAGATGTGGCTCTCCAAGAAGAATCTCTGGTTCAGAAGAGCCTTCGTCAGAAGAGTACTAAACAGTTTTTCCAGCCTCTCAGCTTGGTTGCAGCCACTAAATTCTGAAGGCCAGCTACCTCCCACTGCCTTTGCCCTTTAGGTAATAAGAATATTTCATACTTAAATTATTTGGAAATGCAAAGCTTTTTGGGGGAGTTATGGAATAGGACTAGACCAAAAGAAGGATTGAATCTATTAGAATTAAATAAATAATTAAAAGTAAAGAAGAATAATGTAAGTTCTGAGCTCTACTCAATTTGTGATTTTACT